TCTTTTGCCTTGCATTACTTTCATTCTTTTCCCAATTTTTCTTCTATTTCTCTAATTTACTTTTTAAAATTCTTTTTAGCTCTTCCAGGAATTCTTTTTGAGCCTGAGACCAAATTACATTTTTCTTTGAGGACATTTTGACACTATTATCCTCTTCTAAATTTATGCCTAGGGGGCTGCTGGTTTGCAGGAAGGTGGGGCCCCCCCTCCAGTGGATTGCCTCAGGCTTGGAGCCCTGCTGCAGGCCTCCTGCTGTGAGGCTGGCTGCTGCTGCTGTTCTTGGACCTCACTGGCCTCCCACCTCGGTGAGACAAGACCCTCCGGGAGAGGTGGGTGCAGCCTTTACTGTGATCTCCAACTTTCATTCATACTATTGTGTGGCCTTCAACTGGGATTATGAATTTGTGACTGCAGTGATGAATGCTGACCCTCTGGGTAAGGGAGAAGAGGAATGGTCCTATTCCTTTGCTGAAAGGGCTAGATGCTAAGCTCCTTTTCGGCTCTTTATATTCCTTGTGTTAAATTGATCCTATCTTTAGTAGTAGTAGTAGTGCTTGTATGGGTGGGTCAAGGTAAGGATAGAAGTGAGGACTGAATATTACAAGAGGAGAATTTGAAAGAAGTTAAATTCAAACATTTCCAGGGCCTGAATGTGTCCCCAGGGTGGGACAAATATGAACCATGTAGGTTTTTATTGGAGGGGAGCCCTAGGATTAAATACATGAAACAGGCAGAGGGGAGAGGTCAAGGATCCTCAGTTGGTATATGGGTTGTAAACATAATTAGCTGTTTATAAAGCTATAATTTATCATTCGAATATAAACACAATAGACCAAATATATTCCAGTAGTACTATTAAGGACTGAATAGAAAGTATAAAATTTGCCTTCAGAAGACTGGCATAACTAGATCTAAATACATATTGTAGATCTTAGATGAGATAGAGCTAAAGTATTACTAAAGCTACCCATTATTTTCAGGTTAGTGTGAAATATTATACACTATTAAAAGGTGGATATATCAAATAGATAAACAACATAAAAATATTTTTAGAGGCAGGGTGGCATAAGGAAAAGAACATTAGCAGGAAGTTAGGAGGTGTGGATTCTGTTCCCTAGTGAGGCAATTAACTTATTGTGTAACCTGAAGCAGGTTGCTCCTCTTTGGGCCTTGGTTTCCTTACCTGCAAAATGAAAGGGTCGAACCAGATGATTTCTAAGATCACAGAATCATAGAATTTAGAGCTGGAAAGATACTTAGAGATCAGGCAACTTAGCAATACAGTGGTAGAGTGCTGGACTTGGAGTTGGGAAGACCTGAGTTCAAATCCCGCCTCAGACACTTACAAGCTCTGTGACCTTGGGCAAGTCTGCTTCAGTTTCCCCATCTGTAAAATGGTGATAATAATAACACTTCCACCCCAGGTGAGGAGCAGATAAAATACGTAAAGTGCGTTGTAAACCTCAAAGCACTATAAAAGTACTGCTTCTATTATTGTTGCTGTTGGAAAGGTTATCTTGAGGAAATTGAAGCCTGGGAAGGATAAAGGACTTAACTCAAGATCACATAAATCAAGTACTCAAGAAGCTGAGGTGGAATTTGAATCCAAGTCCATGATTCTTGATTCTAAATTTGATGTTTTTCCTAGTTAACCTCTCTACCTTCAGGTCCTCTTCCTTTCCATGCTCTTCATACCTTCTCTTCTTTGAGTGGTCCTCCCATTCCCTCTTAATTTAAAAAAAAATCTTTTTTTGGGGGGGTTGGGCAATGGGGGTTAAGTGACACAGCTAGTAAGTTTTATGTGTCTGAATCCAGATTTGAACTCAGCTCCTCCTGAATCCAGGACCGGTGCTCTATTCACTGTACCACCTAGCTGCCTCCCCTCCCATTCTTTCTTCCCTAGGGCTAACTCACAACTTCTTCCTCTCAGGAATTTGTTAAACTTTTTCTTCTACACTAAATACAAATTCATGCTTCTGTTCACTCTGTGCTGCTCCAGCAGCTTATGCTGCCCTCATCCCATTCTTCTTGTAACTAGCGATCCCCTGACTCTAGAATAAGGCTTCTATATTGAAGTCTAAGTTAGTTATTTTCAGTAACCTTTTGTTTCCTTTATAATCCTATGTATTTTATTTTATGCACTTAGAAACCTTATTCTGAGAAGAAGGTCTTCCCCAGACTGCCAAAGGAGAAACAGTGGGGAACCACTGGACTTAATGACAATGCTTTTTAATTCTCATGTTCCCCAATCACTCTTTCCTATGGATTCTCCCCGGGATCATCATTCACCCTCCTCTGTCCCCCATGCTTTTTAGCTCTAAAATCCAATGAAACATTGCAAGCTTAAAAACCTATGTGGAACAACTGGTATCTCTGAAACCACATAACTCTATAAGGAAGAGAAAGTCTGACACAATGGTTAGATTTTCATCTAGATGCTTCCTATCTCCAGATCAAATACAAATATCTGACTCTTGCTTTCATCAGCTGGTCCCTTCCAAACTAGTTATTCTCATCTTGCAATAAACCTTGTCCTATATTCTCCATTCCAGACAGACATCTTCTGTTGGCCTGACAATATCACCTCTGACTTTGTCCCAGAAGCATGGAACATCCTTGTAACTGTACTGTATTTCTGTGTTCCTTTAAAGTAGATCTCAGAAAATGAGTGCCTGTTATTCTCCAACTTGCCCAATCCAATCATTATTTTCCTCAATTTCTTCTTTTACTCACTGTATCTGTTTATGTTGCTAAAGATTTTGTACAGCATAAGGACTTCTGATGTTGGATTTGCCTAAATAGGGTTACACAAGCTTGGCTGAATATATCTCTTAGTTGGTGTTTTTGTGTGGACGATACAGTAGAAAAAAGTGATGAAGAAATAGTTCTCAGAAGCACCTTCCTCCCTTTACATGGTTATAAACAAACAGGGGGAAGAAAGGCTCCTTTCTTTTCTCCTCTATATTAAAGAATTATGGGAAAACAACTGAGAGAAACTGAACTTTTGTTACAGACCAACATAAAAATAACAATATCTATGTACAGAACATTAGAACTAGAAAGGCTCTAGTCTGATCCTGTCATCTTATAGATAAGGAAACTGAGGCCCACAGAGGTTAAGTGACTTTTCCCTAGTTATATATACCTTGCAGGTGGCCTAGGCCTTGTATCCATGTCTTCTGAGTCTAAGAAACCTGCTCTTGCCACAACAGCACACTGCTTCAGTGAAACAGTACTGTCAAAAAAAATCAAGTAGTATCTACACTATTAACTTTCTAATCTTTTAAATTAGGACCAGCCTAAATTTTTATTTTTATTAATTTAAAACTGTTTCTTAAGGCACTTGTGCACTAATAATTCTTTGCTCTGTATAGCTCGTTGCACAAAGGCCCACAATTTCTTATGAACTTTCTATCCCCATAATGTAATTACCTTGCAGAAAGTACCAACACATCCTCCAATGATGTGTTCTACCCCCTGACTATCTGAGCTTCCTTACCAATGAATGACAGAGAACTGACCACTCACAGGAGAGAAAAGGGTATTTTCCAAGCTTACTTCTGGTTCAACCTGCAACCAAGCATCCCACTGTCATTCATGATTGGGGTGGAAGGAAGCCAGTTTGTGTAACCGCACATTAGAAAGAGAGTATGATGTTATGTGAGATCAGGGAATAAGAACTGCAACCACTCCTCCCAACTTTTCCCAGATTGAATGGCTCTGTCTCCTCACTTCACAAACCTGGGGTGTGATGTAACTGGGGCTGAGCCAAGCTTGGCTAGGGAGCATCGCTGTGATTCTGCAGTAATGCTCTTGTCTTTTAACACAAACACTCGGAGGTGGGAAATTAAGCTTTTATACACAGTACATGTGATAGGAAATATGTAAATGGTTTTAGCAACTGTCCCCTCTAGCCAATGGAGGAGAGTATTTTAAAAGAATATTCTTCTTTCTTTGTCCCCAAAGGGTTTCTCTTCAGAGGACAACCTAACTCTATGCATTTTATTATACTGTACAAGCATATCTATGGTTAAGGAATAAACTTGCTATTGGTATGATTGCCAGCAATAGATTTACAATTTTCACCAATTTATCAATCAGCATTTACTCAGTCCTTGGAAAAATCAACTAGTAGTCTATGATCCAATTTTTAAAAATTGGATCTGCTGGTGTTTCTAAAGCATAAAAATATGAAAATAATATTTGAAAACAGGGAATAACAGGCATATATTTACATATCATTGTAAGGCCACAAAGCACTTTATTGATGCTATTTAATAGGAATTACACAACCACATTTGATTATTCCCATTTTATACATGATGCAGTACCGACAGCATCAGCGTTTAAGTGACTTGCCTAAGGTCACAGAGCTAGCAAATGGCAGAGTCAGAAAATGAACACAGATTGTCTGACTCCCAAAATCCAAGGCTACTATGATATGCAGCTTCATGGGTTCTGTTATTTTCATCTATTCTTGCACTGGTTTTCAGTTTTGATTTTCAGCAGATCTCCCCTCCTGGCATCAAAATCAGTAAGGCTTGACGGAAGCAGTACATTAACCACAAATGAAATGATAGTCCCAGCATGTCCTTACTTCAAGGGAAAAAGGTGCTCTCTGTGGTACCCCAATAATAAAATTCGAGATTTACCCAGAAAAATGCCCAGAGTGGGAGAGGGACCACAGAAAAGGCTCGGAGATATAAATGAAAGCAAAAAACCGGAGCGTGGGAACACTGCAAAGCACGGGGGAAAAAATGACAGTGACCTGGCACCAAGAAGAAGGGAGGTTAAGAAGAGTTACTCCTCTGGTCTGATGGGTAATTTGTGGAACATGGATATGTCAGGAAATCCAGACTTCGGAAGAGAAAAGGACTAAGGGTTCTTCTCCTCTCCACCTCGGTTGCAGGGGATATAGGACATGGAGATGCAGCACTGTCCTTTCCAAGCTCACAGATTTTGCAAGTTCCCAAGAGACTTGGAATAGAAAAGCCTCTTACCTGCTCTGGTTTGCTGGTGTAATTGAAGGAGTAGATCTCCTCCGTGCTGAGGTTCACCACCCCGCTGTACACGCGATCAAAATCGGCTCCCCTGGCAGTATCTTGGGAGCGGCCACTCCTCGTCCGAGCCTGGGGGAAGCTCTTAGGCTGCCCCCCGTATGGTGGAGGGAGCTGGGGCACTGCAGCCAGGAGCCAGGGGAATGCATGGAGCAGGGCGAGTCCCAAAGAGCCCCGCATGGTGGGCACCGAGCGCTGTCTCCTTCGCTGGCAGCCTTAGAGGTAGCGCCTGGCTGGAATTTAAAAAAGAAAAAAAGGGAGAAAAGGCAGACTATATAACCTTTTAAAAGCCACCTCTACTGGGGCTGGCTAATGTTTCACTCACTACAGGCTGGGCGCTGTCTGACTTCCCCCACTGGTTTGCGCTAGGAATCTGCTAGCGATAGATAGACTGATAAAATATTGATCTAGTCTTGATGGGAGGTAACAGGATGAGGGGTAGGAGGTGGGAGGGAACAGGGGCGACTGATGTTTTCTTTTTCTGGATTAAAAACCCATGTCCTCTTCTTTCAAGCCCACAAGAAAGCTTCACCTAGTCAGCCAGTATTTCCTCTCTGCTCTCACTTCCCTCCTCCCCAACCTCCCACCCTCACCCCAAAGTGGATTTTCTACCATTTGGGAACCTCAAGAGAATGCACCCGAAGTTCAGAGCGTCAAACTATCTAGTTGTCTACCGCAGGGAATTATGTGCACTCCCCACTATGACTTTGGGGGAGGTGGGGGGAGTGAGTTGGGGAAGTGGGGTGGGGGAAGGAGAAGGGAAGGACTAATTAGCAGTAGGCATATTAAGCAGTTAATGCTGACAGAATAGTGAGCTTAATCCAGATCCTAACCCAAACTAAAATGTTTGATTTTTTTTTCCAGGCTGAAACCTATTAAAAACTATTAGTAGCTTAAATATTAATCTAAAGTCTTTTCTTCTTTAAGAGAGCCTCCTTATAAACACCTGTTTCACTTTTTATTTCCTCCACAAAAACAGTCATACCTCATCACATATATACATATATAAATATGTATAATGATAAAAATAAATGTAGTAAAGAGAGCAATTGTGAACACTAGCTGAAGTCTAGTTCCATAAGATACCAAAGACAAATAGCAGCAATTGTATTTATTCAAAGGTACAGTTCAACTAGGAATAATTCTTTCTCTCTATTTATCTATTCAAATATGTCTTCCAAGATTCTAAGAAAAACTCCTAATAGTTGATAGTTTACCTTTTTTTTTTTAAAGACAGAAATCATTGCCTGATAAAGAAAGGAAGAACAGTGTAATTAAAAACTAGAGAATTCTAGAATGTGGTCCTGTAAACCTGTATCTGTGTATTTAAAGAGTGAAGCTTTGAAAGGCATATATTATATGCAGAAGGGAAAAGAACCCAAAAATAATACTCCTACCCCAAAATCCCCAAATCATTAGCCTCCTTGGTAAATACTAATCTCATCATATAAATTGGACACATTATCCCAATAGCTTCAGGTTGTATGTATTTGCTAGAAGAATGTTAAGAGGATTCAGTAAGATTGTTCAAAACAAAGCAAAAGCAAACAAAATTTTGTTCAAAATGCCCACGTTCTTAGATGATGTTCTCTAGCCATTAAAAGTCAAAGCATTGTTTTTCAGTAAGTCTGTGGTATTCATTTGAACATCAAAAATTAGTGTAGAACTCAATGAAGGCCATTTTTCACACGGTATTTGCTTATGCTGTCAAGCTCTTATAAGAGAGCATTCTGCTAACAATGCTGAAGGAAACCAGGAATTTCTTAACACCTAGAAGTATTTTCAGGAATCTGTAATGTGCTTGTAAATTTGTGGACAACTAGGCTGCCATTTCTCAGACTTGAATTCAGCTTGAAATTGAATTCCAGGGCAAAGTTTGCTTGAATCAGATCATTCTGCTTTTGGGAAACATAGCAATGAGCAAAACAAGTACTCTGCACTTGAATAATTTCATTAAGAATTTGCATGTGAGGGGCCAGCTAGGTGGCGCAGTGGATAGAGCACCGGCCCTGAAGTCAGGAGGACCTGAGTTCAAATATGGCCTCAGACCAAACACTTCATACTTACTAGCTGTGTGACCCTGGGCAAGTCACTTAACCCCAATTGCCTTAAAAAAAAAAAGAATTTGCGTTTGAAATACAATTTAAGTGGCCACATTTAATCTTCTTTTGTTCTGAATTGGGTTAAATTTGATTAAGTTAGAAACAATTGGAAGAGAGCTACAATTGAAAATTATATATTCTGTGAAAATTCTATATATGAGGTAGTATAGGATAGTGGAAGAGTATCTTTGAAGTATATGGGATAGTGAAAAGACCCCCAAACTAGGCTTAGCTCATGTGCCATCTCCCACAGGAAGACCTTCAACCTGTATGACCTTGAGCAAGTCACTTAACTTCCCTGGGCCTCAGTTTGTTCATATGTAAAAATTCAGGAGTAGGACTGGATGGTCTCTGAGGTCCCTTCCAACTCTAGACTTCTGATCACTCAAGGATGTGCTCATTCCCTTTCGTATTTTTTTAAAATGTTTAGACATATTTCTCTACTAAAATGAAACCTCCATTGAGACAGGGATTGCTCTACATTTTGCCTTTGTATCCCTAGAAAGAGGCATCTCATTTTGAAATTGAGCCGGCCTCAGAGTCTGGATGGACTAGATTCAAATCCTACTTCTAGCACAAAACAGCTAAGTGACCCTGAGTAAATCCCTTAATGTCTCAGTGCCTCAGGCAACTATGTAAGGCCATAAGTAACAGAAATTGCCAATTTGTTTTAATGGAGAAAATATCACTGGGAGTTCCTTACATTAATGAAAGCACAGGCAGGTTTCCAAAACAAACAGAGCCTAGCATAGTACCTTGCACAAAGGAGGTATTTAAAAGTTTGGATGGGATTTTTAAAACCTGGTTTCTGTGCCCCCCTGCATCATTATATTATTTAGATAAATGACTTAATCTCTTTGTGTATGAGCATTTTCATCTATAAAATGGGAATGCTATTCACCCTCCCTACTTTGAATGGATACTGTAAAGATAAAATGATATGAGGTATATGAAAGTACATAGATAAATATGAAGTGCTACAATGTACTAATGAAAGATATTATTGTATGACACTAAAACAAATGAAAAAGCAAATTCATTCAATCAGTTGTTTCAAATACTCAAAACAAGTACTACTTCTATCCATGCTTTACCTCAACTGTTTTCATGTCGGGCAGACAGAACGTAAGTATTCCCTATAATCATAATACTTAGATTTTCTGATTTTAAATGTAAATATTCTTAATGTGGGGGAAGTTTGTTATTAGGGCACAGAAATTTATTTGTTTCTTTTTTTTCAGTTCTGTGAGAGACATGGAAGTGAATGTCAATTATTTTATGCAAAAATCAAGTAGGAAATATACTCAAAATGTCAAAATAATTCGTGACTAGGATCATTCAAATACTCAAATGGCTCCATGCTCTTAACAATACCAGTATTGTTATGCAGATCAAAACCCATCCATGCATGCCTTTCTTGTGCTAAATGTCTATACTGTTCCATAAATTTAACACAAGGAATCCACCCAACATGCTGAAGGCTTCTTTGCTTTCTCTTAACATCATGAAGATACCATGAAAATTGGTTATCCCTTCATCAGGTGACCATCCCATTTTGGTTTTGGACCATAAATTGCTTTGAGGATATATCCTATAGCCATTTTCACTATAGATACGAGGTATCTAAATGCCGATGAACAAGTTTTATAGGTTGTCCAACCTGTTGCGTATCATAATCTGGACAACAGGCATTTTTCATTATTTGATTTTTGTTGGGCATACTCCTTTGAGTGGTTATGTTCCTCATCCAGGGGGCTCTTCAGTGTTCCGTTGCTTAATGTAATCAGCAAAATGTCATCTGCAAACAGGACTATATGGAGGACCTTGGCATCTGTAAGGAATCCCTTTGCAATTTGGATTCTTCCAAGACACTAGCAAATATCTTTGTTGAATATACAATTCCCTGTTTTGTGCCTCATTTGATAGTAATCATTAGATGGTCATCATGCAAGTTTATCTCTGTTAGAACTTTCACGGAATCTTACATAGTTTTTTGTTTTTGTTTTTTGTATAGAAGGGAGATATCTTGTTAAAAGAAAGCATTTATAGTAGAGTTTTTCTCTACCCAATCAAATGTTTTTCTATAAGTAAAGTGGGATCTTGTATTCTCTGCATGTTCCAGTCAATCGCACGATGGTAAAGATGTGACATGCTGTGGAATATTGCCTGTGAAAGTCTATATTTTTACTGGTCTCATCAAGGATGCCCTTGCAGATTGGTCTTATAACAATTTCATAGAGATGTAAGCACAGAGGTTGGTATTTTTTTTTTATTGTTCTCTGTGTCTTTTTTTTTTGGTATAGTAATAAGGTTTCAGGTATTTTTCTCACATCTTTGTTTCCTTGAGAATAGAAGTCTTGATGCCCTTATGAATGTGCTGGTTCCTACATGAACCTCATCTGTGTGCACTTGATTTTGTTCATATCCTTTTCTTACATTTGTCCTCTTCCATGACATCTTTCCTTCCTCCATAAGCATATCCAGGTCTATGATAGAGAAAAGAGATGTGTAAAAATCTTTGTAGCTCTTTTTCATCTTCCATCCATTTATTGTCTTCCAGTCTTATTATGAAATGTCCATGGGATAATTTTGTTTACTTAGGTTTCTTTCCATATTTTCTTCAAAAATTGCTTCTATTTGTTTATGGGGTAATATTGTTCATAATCAACCACCATCCTTCTCCAAAAGATTTTACAAATGAATTTACATTATAAATTGATATTGACCTTGGTTGCCATATTTTTCTTTCTGGCAAGTAAATCAGTGTTTGCTTTCTAAGGTGCTTTTCAAACTCTTCTCTTCATCCATAGCAATTGATTTACATTGGTTAAACTTCTCTATGAAATAGCTATAATTGTTAATAATGTCCCTTTTTCATCAATATCTAATTGTGGGGCATTAATAACTTGTTTAAACAGATCAAGTTTTAGTTGTTTTAATTACATGCCATATCTTTTTTTCTCATTCTGATTGTTTCTTCTAGGCTTGTATTAATTTTGAGCTTTGCTTCTAAGAAGTTGGTGGTCTGACTATACACAGATGGCTGACTCAGGAATAACTCCCACATCAGTAATGAGTCATTTCCTGTCTGTTAAAATATAATTTTTAGCTTTTGTGATGTTATTTGGTGC